GGGAGTATTCACTGATTCCTGTAGGGAAACAAGAACATAATATTGGGGAGGTATTCACTGATTCCTGTAGGGAAACAAGAACATAATATTGGGGAGGTATTCACTGATTCCTGTAGGGAAACAAGAACATAATATTGGGGAGGTATTCACTGATTCCTGTAGGGAAACAAGAACATAATATTGGGGAGGTATTCACTGATTCCTGTAGGGAAACAGAAAATGGAGTGAGATCCCACTGGGTCCTGATGAGGAACAAAAAAGTGTTTAGATGTACACTAATACTTTCTAATAAACCCTCAGCTACAGTAGGACAATACAAACCATGAGTGTTATCCTTCAGATTTCTACCTTGGAATTGATACAGACTTGTGAAAATATTTATAATTTGGTTTGATTTTGTCCATTTGTTTATTTACAAATAGTTATAATAAACCTCCCTGTCTAACCGAGTTCAGGTAAAGATAATAAACTAGGCAGACATTGTTATCAAGATACATTTTTCTGAATTTTAGATTTGGATAAGCTGCCAACTTTAAGTATGCTCCAGCTGGGGTTGCTGAATTTTGATGATAAGACCGAACAAGAATTGCTTTCTGTTGTCCAGCATTTACTAGTTTGTGTAATCGATGACCCTGGTGTGCCAAATCGGCCAGAGGTAACACTTTAGATAGAAGTCGTTTTTTGTGTGTGAAAGTTTAGCACTTTGTATAACTTAATAAAAGCTATAACTGTAATTTGTATAATCATGTTATTTTTGATAAATATCAGTACTTCTGCAGTGTTGTACAGTCTACATATGTGTGTATGATTATATAAAAATATCATAACGTTAACAACGGTTGTGGAATTTGTATGGTGTATTTTGTATGTTATACAGTATTGAATATTGACTGTATCTCTGGTGTATTTTGTATATTGACTGTATGTCTGGTGTATTTTGTATATTATACAGTATTGAATATTGACTGTATCTTTGGTGTATTTTGTATATTGACTGTATGTCTGGTGTATTTTGTATGTTATACAGTATTGAATATTGACTGTATCTCTGGTGTATCTTGTATGTTATACAGTATTGAATGTTGACTGTATCTCTGGTGTATCTTCAATACTGTATAACATACAAAATTGACTGTGTGTCTGGTGTATTTTGTGTATTATACAGTATTGAATATTGACTGTATGTCTTGTGTATTTTGTATGTTATACAGTATTGAATATTGACTGTATCTGGTGTATTTTGTATGTTATACAGTATTGAATATTGACTGTATCTGGTGTATTTTGTATGTTATACAGTATTGAATATTGACTGTATCTCTGGTGTATCTTGTATGTTATACAGTATTGAATGTTGACTATCTCTACTGTATAACATACAAGATACACCACTGAATATTGACTGGACCTCTGGAACTATTGACATATAATTGCTTTATTTCATCATCTCCTGTAACCAGATTATTTTATTTTATAGGCTGTCTCTGTTCTTAATCAGAATGTACGAGATGTCGATGTAACCAACAGCAACGTGTCTGAGGTTTTACGTCTCTTTTTTAATGCTCTGGATGGCACAAGCAAGGTATAGCCCAAGTTTGTTTGAAATTTTTACACTTGTATCGTATTGCTAAGTAAGTGTTTTGACTTTACTCTTCGGTTATAGGTACTAACATTAACTCTGTTTAAAGGTTAGAGCAGAGAACTTAGCAGAAGAAGTGCTGGTTGAACCTGTATGAAGTTAGTATTAATTGTAAATATTGATAAACTTTATTAAGAGAATAACCTTTCTACTGCAGGTATAGTTTAATAAATATTTGTTCTGTGGCTTTCACCATATTAGAAAATGATGCCTAGCAGGAACGGAATGTAAAATTAGTTGGAAGAGTAAAGTAAATAGAAAAACATTGAAAGTAGAGGTAGAAATTAATTGTTTTTTAATAATTTTTGCAGTGAACAGACAGGTATAATAATCCAAATTTCAGCATAATTGTGTTAAAACTAATCCTATGAGTTTGGGACTTATATGATAAGAAACTCATCAAAATGTGAGGATTGTAAACAAATAGAGGACATCAAGAGAAACCCTTGAATAGCTAACACAAGAGCAATAAGGTTGTCAATACTTTATTTAAAATAATGGGAACAAGTTAAAAAGCTACACTTGTTTCTACTCCAGATAAAATGTTCAAAAATGGGAACAAGTTAAAAAGCTACACTTGTTTCTACTCCAGATAAAATGTTTAAAAATGGGAACAAGTTAAAAAGCTACACTTGTTTCTACTCCAGATAAAATGTTTAAAAATGGGAACAAGTTAAAAAGCTACACTTGTTTCTACTCCAGGTAAAATGTTTAAAAATGGGAACAAGTTAAAAAGCTACACTTGTTTCTACTCCGGATAAAATGTTTAAAAATGAGAACAAGTTAAAAAACTACACTTGTTTGTACTCCAGATAAAATGTTTAAAAATGGGAACAAGTTAAAAAGCTACACTTCTACGTACACCTCTAAAGAAATGAAAAAGTTGGGACCAAAAAAAAAAGTGTTAGACTTATTTATACATCTCTGAAGAAACATAGAAATAGCTTGACTTCTTTGTACTCCTTTGAAGAAAGGCAGAAAAGTTGTAATAAAGGAAAAGCTAAACGAAGTTTCAGCATATAAATTTTTTTTAGTCATTTGCTCTGGAACATGGATGTTCCATTACTATTGACAATATATTTAGTAAAATGTTGTGTTTTGAAGTTAATAATAGTCCATTGTTGTATGTTACATTGAGTGCTAACAATTTCTGACCACAGTTTATATTACAAGTAGAACGTGAGGCGTGAATAAACAGAGATTTTACTTATCTTCTGAATAAACTTTACAGAACTTAGTTTATGATTAAAATTATTATGTTTAGTAATTACTATCACAGCGTAGTTAATGATGCACCCCGTCAAAGTAACAAGTTGACAATGGGTTTTAAGTTGATGTGAACAGTAAAGTAAAAACAATTTAATTAACCAGTTAATAGCTTACAAATTAATACATACATAACACAATGAGAAGCTCTAACATACAAAACAGATTGGAAACTTGCCAATTATGTATTTAAAATTGCTAGCTTAATGTACTATATTTGTTTATAAACAGCTTGATTTAATCATTACTGAGGTATATATGAAATGTTGATAATTTTTTAAACAAGTACTATCACAGCGTAGTTAATGATGCACCCCGTCAAAGTAACAAGTTGACAATGGGTTTTAAGTTGATGTGATCAGTAAAGTAAAAACAATTTAATTAACCAGTTAATAGCTTACAAATTAATGCATACGTAACACAATGAGAAGCTCTAACATACAAAACAGATTGGAAACTTGCCTGTTGTGGACAAATTGTATTGAAAATTGCTAGCTTATTGTGAATTACTACTTTATTTGTTTATAAACAGCTTGATTTAATCATTACTAAGGTATATATGAAATGTTGATAATTTTTTAAACAAGTAGGTTCGTCAGAACAGTTTTTGGTATTTTTGTAGCTTTATTTATGTTTTATGCACATTAAACTTGATGTTAAAATAATCAATATTGAGATTACCAGTTTATAAAGAAATGAAGGTTTATTGGAGAGAATAAGAACTTAAGTAAGTTGAACGTTTAGCAAAATATTTTATTGATTTCAAATTGAATGTCAAATTAAAAAAATTTTTTTCTTCTTCAGATGTGCAAGTGGGTAACAGAAAAGCCATTTTTGTCCTTAAATCCAACACATAAGTCTGAAATTATTGCTTTTTTGTGCAATGAGCTGTTATGTAGCCGAGCTGTTCTAAGGTGAGTTCACAAGATTTGTAATGAGTGCAGATTGTTATTGTTTTATGTTTGTTAACCTGAGACTGAATCTTGCTGATTGAAAAACAAAACCATTTTTTGTACTGTAATTAGTAGTTTCACCCACTGTTGTATGCTGTATTGAATCAAGAGAACATTTGATTTTTACTTTCAGACAAATTGAGTATAACATAGAGACCGTAAATAATTTACGACGAGACAAGTGGGTCGTTGAAGGAAATCTGAGAAAGTAAGTGTGTAATTTTTTTAGATGTGGTTAATCACACATTAATATGTCTTTATTTCACAACTTGTGAAGAAACAGTTTCAGTGAAATTTGATATTCTTAGAGATTTAACAGGAAGGATTAACCCTATCCCAACAGGCTCGTGTGTTCTACGTGACCTTGTAACCATCGTGTAACCATGGTATACATACTATGACTCTGAAAGTACTTAATACATCTTCACAATGTTTGGCAAGCTTTCGGGAACTTTAAGTCTTTTTTTTTTTTTAGACAAAAGATAAGAATTTTTAATCAAGTATTTTTTACTAAAACTTTGTCTGTAGCTACATGATGTTGAGTGCAAAGTGATTTTCTTGTGAAGATTAAAAATACTTTTTTCTATTTATAATTCATTTTATTATTTTATTGCTTTTTAAACCATGTCTAACTAATAATTCTACCACAAAACACTGGGTGAACGAGTAGCTCATGTTACTCTATCAAATTACGTAGTGCATGGGCTACATGTGAGCATATCTCATGAAAAACTTTTATTTATTGTTATTACTTTTCTTAAATTTATGTAATCTGACCTTTTGTAACATAATTAGTTTCTAATTTTTACATTTTAGTTACTTTTGTAATGATAAATATAGAACACACATGAAAAAACAATAAATAAAGCACTTACCTGGATGTTCTTTTTTTCTTTTGACTTTCGAAACTTAACCCTATGTTTTATACTAATGGTACAACTACAATCAACAGTTTTTTACATAATTAAATAATATACCAAAGAACACAGAATAATAACACATGTTTTGCAAACAGTAATTAAGTATTAGAAAATATACCAAAAATAACATTAACATTATCCAACTCATATATATTAGATCTCTAATAACATGACTTTAAAGATAGTTTTTTTCCCCTTTAATAAACTGTGAAAGATCGTTGCTTCACATCACAGCACTGTCTGTAGCAGGTTTTATTTTGATCTGTAGCAGTTTATGTATTGTTCTGTAGCAGGTTTTATTTTGATCTGTAGCAGTTTATGTATTGTTCTGTAGCAGGTTTTATTTTGTTCTGTAGCAGGTTTTATATTGTTATGTAGCAGGTTTTATATTGTTCTGTAGCAAGTTTTATTTTGATCTGTAGCAGGTTTTATATTGTTCTGTAGCAAGTTTTATTTTGATCTGTAGCAGGTTATATATTGTTCTGTTGCAAGTTTTATTTTTATCTGTTGCAAGTTTCATTTTGATCTGTAACAGGTTTTTATATTGTTCTGTAGGAAGTTTTATTTTGATCTGTAGCAGGTTATATATTGTTCTGTAGTGGGTTTCATATTGTTCTGTAGCAGGTTTCATATTGTTCTGTAGCAAGTTTTATTTGATCTGTAGCAGGTTTTATATTGTTCTGTAGCAAGTTTTATTTGGATCTGTAGCAGGTTATATATTGTTCTGTAGTGGGTTTCATATTGTTCTGTAGCAGGTTTCATATTGTTCTGTAGCAAGTTTTATTTTGATCTGTAGCAGGTTTTATATTGTTCTGTAGCAAGTTTTATTTGGATCTGTAGCAGGTTATATATTGTTCTGTAGTGGGTTTCATATTGTTCTGTAGCAAGTTTTATTTTGATCTGTAGCATGTTTTATATTGTTCTGTAGCAGGTTTTATTTGGATCTGTAGCAGGTTATATATTGTTCT